GTGGCTAATTTGATTTGTGTAACCTTGTCAGTCATATTGCTTAGTTTGTGTAGCTAAGTATTTGCGCTCTCTAATTTAGCATTGGTTGCCTTGTTATTGAGCATTGCTAGTGAGCTTAGGAGCTTAGTGCTTTTGCTTACTAGAATTGTGTAGGAGCTCCCCGGTGTGCTAAATACTAGTGGCATAGGTTTGTGTGACCTTACTCCTAGAATTGGATAGGTGAGCTCTAGCTAGCCCGGCATCTTTGTTGCCTAATTAGGATCCTTATAAGGTGCTTGTGAACTTCGATAGAGGGGTGTAGTCTTGGCTAGACCAATTGTCTTAATTCCGTACTTGTTTCGGTTAGCCAGCGCGATTAAATTTAGAAAGGACTATTCACCCCCCCTCTAGTCGCCATCTCGACCCTACACCTACTCCATCCGCATCGAGCACACGTATTTGGGAATGAACATTCATCTAACGAGCGGGCTTAAGCCAACACATCCAGCCTGGACTGCCACACAAGCAAAACCACTGCAACGTAAGCAAAACTGCCTGGCAAAACCACCCCAGGGGATAAATTGACCGGTTTAGCATACTTTAATGTGTTCAATACCTAATTTTATAGTTTAGAGAGTTAAGTAGACACTTCTTCAAACTTCAGGGGTGATATAGACATTTTTCAAATCAGGCTTCAAAACCATACAACTAGAGTGGCAACATTACAACAAGCATCTGTTTCCACACGTTCAACTTGCTCGTACCGAGTACCGACCACCACAAGAACCAAGTAATAAACAAGAGACTACCTAAGTAAAAACTGCTAGTAGTAGAATTTCACCCGGCCGAGCAGTCGAGGGAGGTGGAATACTCCCAAATCAATTTGTAAAGAGGGAGAAAAATAGTTCCTGCACAAGATAGTAAGAACATCTCTGAGAGCCTTTTTTTAAAATAACTCTCCAAATCATCGTCAGGCTTGCTAGCGTCAGGACAAGGCGTCCGGACGTCTGCACCTGCAGTTGTTTCCTACATCATTTCATGTGCCCACGTGGAGCCCGTGCCGCTTCGAACGTCACCAGCATCGAGAAGAGAAGGAGGGGGTGACAGATACCCAGCCGGTGGGGAGGAGAAGACACCGAGGCAAGGCAACAGAAAGCGAGGAGAAAGATGCAACACCCGATCTACTTTTGAAATATCCAGATGCAACACTTGCAATATACGTCTGAAGGCAGATGAAACATTTGAAATATGCATCTAAAACACTTGCAAAAACACCTAAAAATTCTTGAAAACCATTGTAAAACATACGCAACATCTAGATAAAACACTTGCAACATATGTGTGAAATATATGAAACATCTTAATTTACACACTTGCAACATAGTCTGGAAAAACAGATGAACATTGGGAACAGAAGCTTACAACATACGTGTAGAACCATTGCAACAAATGCAATATTCTGATCTACTTTTGCAACTTCACATGAAACATTTGCAACATACCTCTAAAACATATGCTTGCAACATGTGTTTTCCACCCTTCTTCTTCCCTACGACGCAGTGCAGAGCGAGAGATGGGCAAGCGGAGGGCAGCACCGTCATGACCCCTTCTGGAGGCGAGTAGAGGGGATGGCGGGGAGAGGTTGCCGGGGAGCTTTGGCCGCTCTACGGGCTGCTGCTGTCTCAGGCTGGCGGAGAGAGAGGCGGGGACAGGCCATCAACGGGCACATGCCACCGCCGGGCTCTGCCCGGGAGGGAGGGGCCAACCGTAGGTGCAGGCGACTGCCGGTGAACTCTGGCGGGGCGGGGGCGGGAAGAAGGGGCCGATGGGAAGCTCTGGCCAGGTGGGGATGGGAAGAAGGGGTTGGTGGCGAGCGCAGTGGCCAGCGGTGAGTGCTGGCCAGTGGAGACGCTGCGATGGATGGCGTGAGATGGAGGTGCCGCCGTGGGATGGAGGTGCTGTGGGGATGGAGGAGCCGTGCCGTGGGATGGAGGTGTCGTGGGGAGTCTTTTTTTAGAGCGTGTCTGGACGGGAGTCACGGGACGGACACCTGTAGCATATCATTATCGAATCATTATTTGTTGAGTCATTTGAATAAAAATTGTTTTTTTTATATATTTCTACCCTCCAACAGCTTCTTATCTGGTGCGTGCTCTAGAGAACGAACACCACTCTCTATCTTTAGCAAGCGAAAAATATGAAATAGAGGATAAGAATATGTGGATATCTAATTAAAAAAGCTATTAGAGTGTGTTTTTAATCAAAATCGCTATTCCTATCAATAAGGAAGAATATAGAGAGATTATTGAAGTTGCTCTAAAAATCAGAGATATTTAGAAGAAGTCTTCTTAGTATGCACAAACCATACTTAAATTTGGATCCGCTTGGTTTTATTGTTGCCAATTGCACCACCCATACATAGGTAAATGGATTTTATGATAAAAAACTACAGCTTAGCATGCGCATAGAAACACTCAATTTCAAACCAAACTTCAATTTGGAACCAGTTAATGTGAATTTCAAGCCAAGCTTAGTACATACTATTAGGTAGGGAAATATTGAACTCCATTATATGAATCAATGGAAGGAGGAGAGTGGGCTCTAGACCTCTAGTGGAACGGACTGCCCATCTAGTCATGGACCTGCCTGTTCGCTTACTCGTATACGATCGTGAATTATAAGTTGAAACAATATTTTTCTCTCACACCAAACCAGTCAACAGTAAATAATCCACGATCATTTACGGCCTGCCGAACAAGCTGTTGAGCGTTAGGCCTAGAAGTCAGAGTAGCTGGTTCAGGCCCATTGGAATTGCAAATGTTTTCCTTCGTTTTTCCCCCTCTACGGCCAGCCACGGTTCTTTTCCCCAAATCAAATCGATCAGTCAAACAATCCATGTACCAATGCCACACTAAAAAGCTTGTTTTAACAGGCTGCACTGGGGCGCAAATGTGCGCAGTCGTATATGCATTAATGACTAATGCATATACTCCGTGACCTTCTAATTTGCTATATATAGTACATACATCCGAGTTGTTACGTTATATACTCTGTTCACAAATATGAGTGTTTTTTCTTTATCTTTTCATCACCGAACAGAAAAATTAGCGGCAGTAGGATCAGAAACATTTGGCTCTTCGTGCCGAGAGCTCTCAAACTCACCGTTCTAGTTTTGATGCTGTGTTACTGCGTATTGATGGTTAAAGTCGAATTTTTGAATATTTGATGTTGTATTAGGGCCTGCTTGATATAAGAGCTAATTGCTACCTAACATTCGACCTGTTCGCTGGTTAGTTTCTGGGCTGATAAGGCCAGCTAGTGTTGGTTTGTTGTGAGAGAAAAACACTGTTAGCTAGCTGATAAACCCTAGCTGAAACCAACAAGCGAACAAGATGATTAGCTCTAATGTATCTAAACAGAAGGCTAATGGGTTAGCTAATTTTTAGCTAAAAAACTTCAACTAGTTGTTAACAGCTAGCTAATCAACCTTCGCTAATTTAAACTTATTTTTAGTCCAACTAGTAACTATCCTATCTTATCCAAACAAACCCTTAGTATTACTAAGTGTTGATGGTTAAAGTTGATTTTTAAGACCGTGACTTAGAGTCAAATCATAATTTTTACTCTCTCGGTTCATGAATAAATCAAGTTTTATTTTGATCTTAGTTAAACTTTTTAAAATTTTAAATTAATTTTTATACAAAAGAGTACCGATATCTATAATAACACCTAAAAAGATATAGCAGGTTTTATCTAAGTATACTAATTTTATGTCAAAAATATTATTCTCTTTATAAAATCTAGTTAAATTTAAAAATGTTTAGCTTCAAATTACTTAAGAAATTGATTTATTCAAAAACAGAAAAGGCATTTTTGTTAATCACACTGTATAGATGCACAAAGCCATACTTTTATAAGACAGACATACACCTTACCCTTATAAGCACGTTTAAAAGAAAAAAATAACAATGTTAAATTTTTGAAAAATCTAGAATACCATAAGGAATCTAACCAGAGAAGCTCTGTTCAGTCTGTAATTATAATTTTTATTTAATACTATAAACAAGAAGAGTGATTATTCAGAACTTTTACAATTGCATGTGGCGACAAGAGGAGTCACGCGAGCCAGACCAAACTTGTCTCACAGGTGTCGCCCTCTAACGTTCAAACTGGTGCCACCTCGTATGCTGACGCGGCCACTGCAGCCATCTTTAACCTTTGTCAGTAAAGTGGGTGGCGAGCGCTGACCTTTAGCTGAAAAGCATTGCCTGCCTGCTTCTATGCTCTTCTCCTCCTCCCTCCAACACCATTCAAAAGACCTCCTCCTCCTCACTGCTCCAACGACACCTCCTGCAAATAGAAAACTACAAGTGATAAGACAAACAAATCTTCCAACCACCACCGGTAAGCATCGCATTAAGGATATTGCAAACAAAATGCAACCCAGATATATACCCTTCCCTGAATGATTGGTTAATTCAGCAGTAGTACCTCACACTCATTTTTCATTCTTATTTTAAATGTTTTGCTCAGCACCAGCAGTTGCAGGTAATGGTCAGGCTAAGTACTGAACATTCTTAGGGCCCATTCAGTTATTATCTTTTGCTCCTAGACTTTAGCTGTATTATATATGTAATGACCCTGTATGTAATTATTAAGCATCAAACAGGTAGGACCCTTACTTTTGCTCTTGTGCTTGTCTGATTGGCATTACTTGACACAGCAATCTCAGCTGCCAAGCATATTACCAACCGCCATCACCATGTTATAATAACCCCATTTGCCTACCACCACTTCGATTTCAACTACAGAGACAATTAGATTAAGCCTATATCCCTTCCTCTCATCCTCTATTTCTAGTCGTTTCCATTCCATCTCTGGGAATGTCAAGAGGCGGTAGATAAAGAAGTTGCAACCTCCATGACCACTCCTCATATACATCTTCCAACACAGGCTTCCATAGACTCAGAGCTTCAGAGCTAGACAGAGAGAGAGACACACACACACAGAGTTTTGCAGCAATGGAAGAGTTCACGTTCCCCAGCTTTCCACTCGAGCAATACAACGCCAAGAAGGTCCCCTTCCCCCACTTCGCCTCGGCGTCGCCGTGGCTCGTCGTCCCCGGCGGCGTTGTCGACACGGCCGTGCACGAGCACGATCACCGGAGGAGCTTCTCGGCCGTGGAGCAGCAAGAAGCCGCCGGCAGCGACTACCACGACCAGCACCAGCAGCAGCTGGGTGGCTACGACCAGCACCGCCACGGCTCGGTTCGGTTCGCCGTGGAGGACAAGATGGACATGCTGTGGGAGGACTTCAACGAGGAGCTCGCCCGGGCCGCGCAGCCGTGCCCGCTCACCATGGGCACGCCGTCGTGGGCCACCGCGAAGGAGTCCTGGCTCGCCGGCGGCGACGGCGACGGCTACGAAGGCGCCTTCGAGACGCGCAAGCACGCCGTTGTCCGGCGGCGGAGGATGGGCCTGCTCATGATGCTCAGGCTGCTCAAGAAGCTCTTCCTGGCGCACAAGTCCGGCGCCGCCCCGTCGCGGAAGGCGCCGCCGATCTGATGCAGCTCAAAAAATAGTGTCTTTGATGAGTGCACGATGATGTATCAGCCTATCAGGTGTATATACGGAGGTGATCAATTGATCAATACATGCTTCTCTCGGTAGCGCAGGACCAAGGACTTGGTTCAGAGCTATCAGTGGGAGTGGCCTTTTGCTGATGAATGTTCTGTTTCTCTTGCTAGAAGTTTCTCTTGTTGTAGTTGTGTAGTTGTGTGAGTGTTGAGAAATTTTGGTTATGCCTTGTGTTTTGCTTAAAGTTTGACGAGCTGCAAGATCTTACTGAAATCAGGGCAGCTATCAGAACTCTGCATCGAACGATATTTGTAAAGTCAGGCTGATTTTACATCTTTTGTCAAATTGCTTCATATTCCAAAGATAAACGTCATTAGAATGCTACTTTTGTAAAGCGTGCAGTATAATCTGCTTCTCTGGTCCTATGGGGCGTAATTATGCAAAGTTCAGTCTAATTTCATTTCAAAATCTTCAGCTGAGGTCCAGGCACAATTGTTCAAACGACCTGTACAAATGGAAACTGAAGCACATCTAAATTAGGTTTCCTAATCACATCGGCGAATGCAAGTATAACTTTTCTGACCACAAATCAAGACTATCTGACTCAGCAACAGTTGAAAATGACAAAAAAGGAGGATCCACATTTCGAAAATTCAAAATATGCACTCCTAGTCACACCCTTTTCCGCTTCAGCTTTCAACCGTTTAAATGTTGCTAACCCGTCGTAAAGAAGAATTGAAGCGGCTTTATCCAGTACAATCCTACCATTTTTCATAAAAGGATGGACCGAATAATACCGGTCCCTTTTCTCATTTCAAATATATAATGCTTCATTCACTGAATCATGACATCTATCGAAGATGAGCAACAAGTTAAGGAACGGCCATGTGGAGTGGAGGTGGAGGACACCAACAAACCGGTTGGTCCCAAGTAGACAGCAAGAATTAGTTGTAGAGAATGTCCTGAGCGTGTCAGCTTGAAGTCATCGCATCGCATACCACACCAGTTTATTTATACACTTGCCTGGTAGTGGTAGGTATTGCATCACACAGAAACACATGTTTTCATTCCACAAGCAAAAGCCAAAAGGTTTGTTGGCTACAGACTACAGAGTCTTAGACAACTCATGTACGTGGCAGTACAGCACAAACCCTGAATTGCTTCAAGTAGGGTACTGGTATTTCTCAGCAACCTGGAACTGGCCAAAAATGCCGAGTAGTGTGACACTGAAATGTCCCCACAGAGTTTGCTTATTTGAATCATATCTTACATCACAAGTTTCTGCCCAAGAGATAAATTGTCATCCTAGATGTTCATCCAGATTTGATTTTGTAGCCATAGAACATGGCTCGGTGAGCATTGAAATGGCATACAGAACTTTGGGGGTCACTAAAGTATCTCCATATGGATAATTGTATGTATGTAACATGGGGTTCACTTATTTAGCTGTTCAAGACAGGAACATGGGATTACATGTGTAGAGGATCTCAACAACTATGAAGGATACAACAGGTACACAGGAATTAGAACCGATCATTAACAAACATCTATGCTGTTCAACTCAGTACCAAACAACTCAGAGACCAGAGCATCATTCTGCAGGTTGAGGATGTCTGCATTACTGATGCCCCTACGAGTCCTCCTGTGTGAAGAAGAAACATTCTTAAATAAGCGACATTTTCAAATAGCATCGAAACTGAAACCTGATAAGGCAGGCTCAGGTAAACAGTAAAACAAGGCAACATGAACATGAACATGAACTGACATATTTGTACAATACCTTAATCCATAAGAGTGATTGCCGTGCCCCCCAGAGAGTCCTAAGGTAACCTAACAGAACCTGTAAAAGCAATTCTCTGTCAATTGTTTTCCAAAATCAACCTCTACATGAATAAGAAAATTGGTGTTTATGACAAAGTTATTATGAAACTTCAGAACTTTATGTTTAGAAAAAAGAAGTTATCCACATTTGGATCTCAAAGAGAAAATATTTTTCCTGATATTCTTCTCTTTCATGCATAGAGAAAAGTAAGTGGGATTTGCTCAGCTACTGCTATCCTTTGTTGCACATGGCAGCATATGGTCAACTTGGCAATGCAGTTATCTAAGAACAGGTAGCACATGATTCTGCTTGCGAAATCTGACCATCTAGAAGAAATGCCAGATAGAAAGTGTCAAATTCTCCCTCAAGCTATCTTAGCTTCAGTGTTATCATTTGCCCATATATATATTAATAAGCTTTGGTTTTCAGGGCTCAGCGATATCTATGCAGATAGTGTTGTGGAAGTATCACAGAAGAAATATTAATGAGTTATGCTTGGATTGGAATAACTGATAGTTCTGACCTTCTGACCTTAGTATATTAAGTATTAACCATACACAAGCAGTAACATGGTTGCTCTCAGGATCAAGATAAAATATGACAACCTTTTACCAGGATAGACAACTCAAATTCATCGTATTATGCTGTTATTTGCATAAAACTAGGAGTTAGAAACCTTACCATAAGAATCAAACTTCAATTTTAAAATTGTAGTGAAAAAATGCAGAAACAGAAACAAACTGTAGTACCCACAGCATTCCTAAATGTCTTAAAACTTACTTTTATTCAATGGCTGCAGTAAACCATGTCGGTATTGTTTCATCACTTAGAAATGTTCTTAAGTAATCCGGACAAGGAACCACAGTGTGTTGACTTGTACTCGCACTGCTCACAACATGACTGAAGTAACTGAATAACTCTCACACACCTGAAGAAATAGAACAAGCAGGAACTTCAGGGCACCTGAGTATGATCTCATAAAATCTTATACACTTAACTTAGTTTCCATATAGAACATGATTCAAAAATTATATGCATGGTATTGACAGTTACTAAATGTATGCTTGCGTGTTAACACCTGACAATATCCAAAACCATAATTACTAAAATACCACCACTTTTTTTAGTGCTGATAAACACAATGATGTATATTTGATAAAAAGGCACACTCATCATTACCCAAACGCCCCCAATGTCGACTGAAGATCCTAACGTTTATATAGGTCAAATTTCTGTTGTGTCTAAATAAACAACACAAATTTAAATCGCAGTAGTAGTGAGAAGCATATAATCTAAACTAAAAAAACAGTTCTTAGTCGTACTAATTAAATTTCACGAACGGTATCACCCCAATGAATCTTAAATCATGCCAAGACTAATCAGTCTCAGACAATTTGGGAAGTAAACACTACATAGGTCTCAAATGACTCCAAAGCTTCTTCACTTCTCAAGGCCTGCCCGTTCCTAAAACCTGAACAGCGCGCATTCATTCAGCTAAAAATACCCCACGGCCCCATCCCATCCATGTAAACCAAATCACCAACTATCCATAGACCGACGAAGCAATCGAAGTCTTCGGGTTTGGGAAGCAAAGGGGTGCGTACTTCCTAGAGTCGAACATGTTCCTGGAGAGGCAGGCCTGGATGTCGCACGCCTCCTTCTTGCACGGCTCCTTGCTCGGCTGCGCCATCCCCTCGCTTCCCTCGTCCTCCCGCCGCCGCCGCCGCCGGAGCAGGGACCAATTCCAAGACGGCGTGGGGGTGGGTCTTCTCGCTCCTGAGTCCCTGTGCCGTGCGAGTTCACGAAGACGGTTTCGAGAGGAATGGCATCATCTGGGCCGCTTGGGCCTCACATGTGACTCCTGGCCCGCGTTTGTTGTGGTCCGTTGTGCAAATGATGATGCCCGTACCTTCTTTGCCGCTCGACTCGACTAGGCCGGGGCAAATTACTCGATACCAATAGCTGAACCCGAAATACCTAAACCTGTATCTAAAATACCCGAACTAAAAATATTCGATCACAAATTCAGATAGCAGCTCTAGAAACCCAAAATTATTTTGGACAGTTTGGGTGTTATGTCCCGGTACCCGAACTGTCCATAAAACCATAATTGTATTAAGATCGGTTACCCAATCCCCACCTCATCTTCTGTCCTTCACGAGTTCCCGGGCATGGCCCAGCCACCAAGGCACCAAGCATCTTATATCAAAAAAGAATTCGACTCCCTATCTAGCCCCCAGGGGTGCTTCCCTGACCCCGACCCGAGTGCGAGTGGTGACCAATGTCACACCTGGCTGAACCTGAACGAGCTCTTGGACAAGAAGACGCAGAAGGAGGCCACGCACCTGCAGCAAGTCCGGCAACATGTAAAGAGAAGCCCAGGAGCGGCACCAGGGCCTAACTGCCTAACAAGAGATTCACTGGGCCAGAATGGACTTGATGCCCTGACCGCTAGCAGTTGCGCTGCAAAGAGTATCGGTTTGGCCGGTTGTATAAGAGAGACCCTTGGAGAGCAGGAGAGAATTATGTAAGAACACAATTGTGATTTGCCTTCTACTAAATCCTTCCTCGCTATTCCCGGTGTTCTTCCTACTCCGACCCCCCCTTTTCTACTTCTCCTCGATCCCTCCCTCTAACATTTGGTATCAGATACACAATCGATCCTTGGTCGCTCGCTTTTCCGCATTCCATCGACCACCTTGCATAAGCTCTAGGTCCGATTAAGATTTCTGGGGGTTAGTGAGCTACTGCCGCCAGAAATTTCTCTATAATTCCTAGGCACGCGAGTTGTTTTGTGGGGAAATCTACGATCCGGAGCGAACCCCACCGCCACCGCAACCACTATACCCATCGCCAATGTTGTCTCGCCGCCATGAACCCGGAGACTAAGCTTTTGATGGATGAGATGCACCACCTCTTCTCCAAGTAGACGTCCCAATTCGACAAGCGCTTCAACGACGTCAAGCTCTCCTTCGAGCGCCGGATCTCTGATTTGGAGCTCCGCCAGGAGGAGCGCGCTACCGGGATGAGCGTGTCCAGAAGATCGAGGTCACCACAAACAACCTGCAAACGTGGCGCTTGGATACCGAAGGACTGGTGGATGATCTGCACTTGAAGGTCACCAAACTCAACAAGCATTGGGGTCGATCCATCCTCGACAACTTTT